GCTAATAACTGCAATCAGAGACAGGCCCTGTGACTCAACCCTGAACTAGCATTTCAGTGTGCTACACACATTTACAAAAGCAGCACTTTTAAGGATGAATATGAGCTCTTGGTTTTATTGAAGCCAGCAAAGTTAGACTTTTAAAGTCTATTCTAATACATATAAGTGTATTCCACAGCCATGCCACTTATAAAGAAAAACAGATCTTTAAAAGAATATGCTATTTTCAGGTGTTAAAAAAGGAGTTAAGTGCCCCCTGCGATGTGGGAAGAGAGTACCTGAATGTGCCGAGTGGTTTGTATCACGTCCTGCCATTTGCCATATATCCTAGCAGCTAAGTCTTTTACCTGCAAATTCAAATTGATTAGTTCAGCCACTTATGTTTAAAAAGCCAGAATCATACACTATACTTCCCCCCAGCCTCAAACTCAGAAACTGGATAACCCAACATCCAAGGCTTACTGAAAGGGAACACTTTTACTGGCACAAAGTATCACTACCACAGCTCCAACCAGATCCCTGTCATTTGGGACTCTGAATTCAAAGTCATGTACTCCACACAAACACATTAAGAGGCACATGACTTGCCAGGTTAAGTGTTTGGAATCAGCATGCAAACCTCAAGTCTCCAAACACCACCTCATCCTTGGGTAAGCGAGGTTTGTTACACAGGTCTGGCTGTACCTACAGCAGGTGCCTTTAACTGCAATCACAAAAGCCAACAATGCAGCACTGGCTGCTTCTGAAACTAATTCCTTAGACACAAAACTGTGTTTTTTCCATAACCATTCACAAACCAGTGCTTAATCCAAGCCAGTCACACTGAGATCTGCTTCATATGCTGTGCTAACACCCAGCACAGTGGTGTCCTCTGGGAGTTACTGTCCTATTACAGAAATGAAGAGATGGGGAAAACCAGAGCAAAGTTTTCCCCTCGGTGCAAGGGCAAATAGAAACAAAAGCGAAAGCAACCAGAGATAAAACAATCTAAGGCAAGAGTAATTAACTTGTTAAAAGGATCCTTGCTCACTAATCTGGCTGAATAAAACAAGAATCTTTTGGAGAGGTGAGGAGGCACACACTGCAAACATCTGTCGGACTTAAAGCTGAAGAGCCAAGGCTTTTCAAAGTTGAGGCTGGTCACTGTATCACTGAGCTGATGTGGCTTGCTCTGACTGCATGTGAAGCATGAAGGTCACAAAATTAGGACTACCATGAGTAAGTCTCACACCGCAAATCAAGCAAAAGGCAATTACCCAAACCTGATGTCACGTCACATACATTGTTGGCTTAAATCCATAGCATTTTTAATGAACTCTTTCATTTGAAAAATAAAACAGAGATTCATGCGAGACAGGCTACTTCTCCAGTCCTCTGTGTCCTGGCCTGCAGGTAGGCTCTGCTCTTAGAGTCAGCTATCAGTGACTGCCACAAAAGAAAGAGAGCACCTCTCTGCAGGCCTCGAAGTTGAGATGCCTGGCTAAAAGCAAGAGGAGCTCACGTTTTACTGCCATTTTACTGTCCTGTTGTTAGTGAAAGGAGCATTTTCAGTGAATTAAAATAGGTATATGTTCATGGACATGCAAAGACACAATACAAATAGAAAAACCAGGAAAAAACCAAACCTATGAGGAACTCTTAAAATTTCCAGGCCTAGGACGAGAGGACACACTAAAAAGCACCCCAAAACCACAAAAAAACCCAACCCAAATCAACTTACACGTCTTACCTTAGATCGATAAAACAGCCTTGCATCTTCCCTAATGTCACCTTTTATGTGCCTATCTAAGGCACTACAAAGCTTCAGTAAGTGTTGCTAAACAAAGACAAAAATGCAGCTATTTAAATCCTCCATCTCAGGATTAAAAGTTTTATTCAAATGTTTTACCAATTCAAACATTAGATGCTTCAGTTTGAATTCATCTCAGAAATACACAGCAAGAAAGAGAAAAAAAAAACCCCAATCACAAGATCCTATATCAGTTGCTCTATACACCTGACAAACCAGGTCTAAGTTTTTTAAAACAGTTTCAAAGTACAGCAGAGCTATACATCACAAATTTTCGAGTTCCTACTAGCTAATTTGTGAAACATTTCTGTCCCAAAGCAGCAAACACAGTGAGGGGCCATTCAGATCTTTTATCAGCAAAAGAAGTTCTGAAGCTGGAACAGCTAAAAATAACTTTTTCGGTCATGATGACTCAGGTAATTTCTTTGGTAGGAATTGGCTGAGCAGGTAAAATATATCCAAGGTTTATGTGCTGATCTGTTATTTCTCTCTAAATTTCTGATTACTTTAATAAACCAGTTTTGCAACTTCATAATCTCTTGATAATGACTTCCAAGGTCTTTCACATTCCATCAATTTCTGCACAAAATTCCTGTTTTCAGTACCTCACTGAACAGCTGCAAAGAGGCTCTGCAGAACAGGTGAGATATGCTGAAATTCTATTTATAAACACTTTTGCTGGTGTCTCAAGGCCACTAGAATCTACCCCATCTACCTGTAAGAGGACCAGAAATTAATTCTATTGGTTTTATTCAAGTCTGGCCTGCACAGCATTTAGCCACATCCCTCCGGCCACTTGATGGCTGAGAGGTCAATGATAATAGACTCTTTCTTCATTAAGAAACAGGTTAAAAAAAGTAAATCAAAAAGATCAAGTTCTTCCACAAATCTAAGTAGCAAACTGAGACACTTAAGGCCTCAAATATAACCAAATATTAGTGCTTCACATCTTTTATCAGTTCATATGACAGATTGCTTAAAAGCCAAGAGCAATTCCACAGGGCAGAAGGTTTACACGAACACCTTGCAGCAAGCAACTCCCACCAAACGATCACAGAAACATGAACAGAATTACTGAAAGGCTAAGCAGAAGGTATTACTTAATGTTCACATCACGTGGCACAAAGGAACTGTCACTACAGAGAAGAGCTGCAGTCCTGGCTTTCACTGGCTGCATGGCCACACTCCAGCACAGAGAACTGTGTTTGAACATACTTTACTGGGTACTTGTAAAGTGGTTTTCTTCTGGACTGAAAGATTTCCATCCTACTTCAAAAGCTGATTTGATCAATGATTTCTTTAGAATTCCTGTGTTGAGTTAATCTCCAGATACTCTGAGAAAGATTGAGTAAATGCCTGCTCGCCCACAGCCTTATGTTTTGGGGTAGCTCTACTCACAGAATGGCAGATTTGTTTCTCTGCAGTAAGCACAGCAAAGTTCCTCTGCATTTACCTTGCCCCAGAACACAAGTTTCCCCCAGTGCTATTATCCACTGCTGATCTTCTATCACATGACAGCTCTTACTAAAACAGACCAAGTAAGCATGATAAACAGTCTTGTAAAATCTAAAGGTCTAGCGACTGACATTACTTACCCTTTGATTAGACTTTACAACATCAAAGAAACTGGCTTCACTAACCAGATGGAGGAGGATGTAGATTAAGTAGTATACCTAGAGAGAAATCACAAGAGCTTTAGCAGTAAAAGCACCACCATAACTTCACATCTAGACACATCAACCACCTTTGCTTTCTGGAACGATTCCCCCAACAGCCAGGCCAATGTATGTCTGCACATCTGCCTAAGTAACTAATTCAAAACAGTGTACTCACCTATTAGAATCATTTTAAAACAGTATTACACTGGTTTATATAACCTAAGTAACCCATAAAAATTTCTGTGGTTTTAATAACTGAAAATTAAATTCAGCAGATGGATTTATTCCCCCATCATCTACATCCAAATCAAAATACTTGCTAAGAGATTCCATGACAACACTCAAATAATCAAACCAACGTTCCATTTTTGGATGGATGGAAATACTATCTTTGTAACACGATTATGAGAAAAGATTAATGAACGATTCATCAATGTCTTTCTGAAGCCTGCAGGTGAAGGTCTGGCCCAGCCCCACACAGCCTCCACTGCTTACATCAGAGGGAAGGGAGGATTGTCCCCAGACCACAGAAGTCAGGACTCAAGACATTGACATGACTCAAAAATCTGACCATTTCCCTGCCTATAAAACAGCCCAATACAGGTCCCTCCACCACGTGCTACTTCTTTCCTCCCTCCAAGACTACAACAAGAATTGAACATGAGTAATATTTTAAGGACGAACTGCAACAAAACAGTGTATGTACAGTGCCATGTGCACAAGTGTCTGCAGTTAAAAATTAAAAGAAACAGTCTCAAAATCATAGAAGATGCATAAAAAGACAAATGCAAAAAAAGCACTATGGGCTACATACCTCCTGTTCTAGTTCTGCATTCAGGTGGTCTCTACTGGTATTCTGCTCCTCCAGTCCTCCTCCCATCTTCATTAGCAGATTAGAAGGTTTCATATACACCAGAAACTGATGCAGAAGAGACATCTACAGACAAAAACATTAACAAACTGTACTGGTTTACTGGCAACAGAAAACTGGAAGCTGAGTGCTACTACAACATTCCTTGTCCATTAAGACAAGAACAGAAAAGAGATTTTTAGTTAAAAAGGAAGTTCCTGTGATTTGAATAATTTTTGACTATTCACAGAGTAAAGTGTACATTGCCTCAACGGAAGACCAAACCTATGAAAACAAAGACTGACCCCACATAAACACAACAGGAAGACTCAAAGAAGTGTAGACCTCTTTCCAATACCCAAAATTCATGCAGAACATGCAGTTTACACACACATGCAAATATACTTTTAATGCTAACTTAAACAGAAAATTATTACCTGGCCACTTTGCAAGGCTTTTGAAAACAGGCTGACAGTATTAACACAAAGGACATACAATATGTGTTTTCTGAACTTTCAGATCATACGAAGACAACACATATAGGCAGTACCTGCTTGTCACTGTCATCAGGTATTTCTATAAGCTTTTTATGAAGAAGCTTTGAAATTATTACCAGGCTAAGACGTCTTCTTACTTCCCTGAAAAACAATGGAAAAAAAATTATTTCCCAGAGAATCTCTCAAATCCACACTATTTCTACCAACTATGTGAGGCTGTGCATGGCCTCCTTAGACATGAACTCGCCTAGAACTATTACACTGCATTCTCTGAATATGAGTGCTATTAAACAGCAGTACCCTTAAGTCTCACTGCAGCTTAGCTTCTGCACAAGTGAACACTGCTAGACACTTCACTCCAAGCCTGAAATGGAGGACCCAATTAATTCTCCTTACTCAGAGACATTATAATTTATTGAATTTCAAAGTCACAGAACTCGTTATAGAGTGATGCTTAACAACACACATGAATAACCCAAAGTTAAGCCTTTCTTTACTACAGGGTACCAGAAACCTGCAGCTCAGAAACTACATATAAAATATAATAACCCTTTTTCACAGTAGAGGTGAGCAAGAAGCTATAAATGCACACTGAGAATTGCCTACATGTCTGTAACACATGAAACAACACTTACTTTTTTATTAATTGCATTTATCAGACTCTGAGCTTATACAAATAAATCAGCTGCTAACAATCCTACACATTTCTGACGCTGAGAGCATCATTACCATCCACGTGGAATCCAGTTAGGCACCAGCTGAACTAGCCACAGGAGATTATGGTGATGACTGGTGAGTTCACTCACCGCCAGGCAGAGCTCAGGCATCTACAATGAACAACAGCAAAACATCCTGATAAGGAAAGAATGGCTGTTTGCTTTATGGCAAAGGAATACACATCTGATCCCTGGAAACACAGGCAGCAGGAACTAATCTAACAAGAGATCACGTTAATAGAGATCTCTGCATCACACCTGCAGTGAACTCTGCTAAATTTGATTTTATGTAGGGTAGTTGAGTTCAGATTGCTTTTAATGACATTTTACCAGCTCAGTGCAATAATTTCTTCATTCATTCAGAGAGCCATTTCAAACAGACAGCAATCTTAGCAAACATAAGACTAAGATAAATACAACCGTCCTCTTGGAGAAGGACACACAGGCACAATGTCATGCACAAAAACCCTCTCAGTACAGCCACCCACTTCCTGTACCTCACACAAACCCAAAGCTTTGAATGTTTGCATTACATTTTCAAGGAGTACTTTTTCTATGTCAAGAAAAAACCCTAACTTCAAAACAGTAGTTGCAGTTTCACAAATCTAATGCACTAAAATTACTTATGAAGTTACCTTTGTATCCCAGTCTTTTATATTCATCAGAAGCTTTACAAAAAGGCACTGAAAGTCTATCAAAGGAACTTGCTTTAACCGTTTCTCCAAACTTATTTTAAACAGCAGTAAAAGCAGCAGATATATCTCCTGATCAGTGTATCCACCTTGAATTACTGCTGTACAGAAACCTAGAAACTTTGAAAGAAATACAAAGCATTAAAATCTGAACTTGGTTTAGCTTATTTTTCAGAACTTTCTTTTACACCAAAATGTACCTCAAATGATGTACTGGTTTTGCAGCACTTGTGTACTAACATCTCCCAGTTAACAGCACTAATTTTTTTTATACCTGCTGGAATCTCATTTTTACAATAATGGCAAGAATTCCTGGCCACTACAAGAGTAGGAAAGGTATTTCTCTACTGCACAGATAATCCTCCTGTAACTGAATGACCAACAGATTTCTAAATACACAATACTGAAAATGTAAAGAGATTTTTTTCCCACCCAAGTATTATCACATGGGTTACTTACAATATGGGATATGTGTGTAAACAAGAGCACAAATTAATCAAGGTATGTGTACTGTCTCTAGTGCAAGTGCTCCAAGTACCTCTTGAATTATGAGATTTTTATAGCTAAAAAAATCTCTAAAGAAATGATGTCAGGAGCATTCAGATACTTCCACCATGAATGCTGAAATCAGTTATAGTCAGTATTTTCACCATATATGAATTCCCCTTCCCATTTCCACTGGAACACAGAAATGGGTAGTTTCTTTTACATGAAGGAGCCAAGATGTTTGGGGAAGTGCCACAGCTGGAAAAGGAAGGCAGCAACACTGTGCAGTTGTGAGTGATGCCAATGGACGTCAGGAAAGAGAAGTTTGCAACAAGCCTACAGTGCACTCTGCTCAATGTGAAGCTGAAACCTCAGGATAGCATCCACTCACAAAACATGCTCAGGACTAGATTGCAAACACCATCCTCCTTCCCTAAAGAAAACACATACACAAGAAAGAAATCCAAGCCACAAAACCCCTGGAGTTCTCACCTTAATCACATTAAGTAAGTTGTTTTCAAGTAGACGGGAGAAGGCTGGACTGGCAGAGGCTACCTCTCCTCTTGGCTGTTGTTGTCTCACAGTTTCTTGCACCTGACTTCTAATTAAAGAGACACTAATCTGAGCAACAAATCATAAATTTACAAGTCCACAAAGGTTTATCTATGTCAAACTGAAGAAAAAACCCCAACACTGCTTGTTTCAAATGCCTTCAAATCAGAACAATCCTCAGTTACAGAGCACAAACACCTAACTCACAGCCAATAACTTACAATTCTGCTCAAATGTTTAGGCAGTATTCCTGCAAACCTCCATGAGGAAGATACAGGACAAAGGACAGTGCTCTCTCTGGTTTGCTGAATCCTTACCTAGAAGGCATTGCTTGAAGTTCTGGGTTATCTACTCTTACTAGGACCTGAGCTGAGAACTTGAATAGTATAGCTTGAAGGAAGCGAGGGAAGGAAAATAAAGAACCTTCTTATTCTACATTCTAAGCAGAAGCCTTGCTCTCACAGGATCTAAGCAATAAATATCAAAAGGAAAACACTTACAAAATATCATACTCATTAAAGTTGGGCTGAAGATGCCGCAATGGAAAGAGAGATCTAAACGCAACTCCCATATTGACAAGAACAGCTGACACATCAGCTAATGAAGGAATCCATGGTTTAAACTGTTCATCACTGATGGAAGCTACAAACAAAAGACATGGAACTGATTAGTTTAAAATTTAGTTCTTGGCATTAGCTCCTTCTAAGGGAAACAAACTCAGCAGTCTATCAATTCTACCAGCTCTTCTCTTAGACACTTATTTTCAGAACAAGGAATGGGAAAAAAAGTCTAACAGTATTTTACACTAGAGAAACATCTTTCCTACATCACAGGTCAATTACTTTCAAGTTCCACTCATTTTCTGTCACAGCTCTTTTATCACAAACAGCAGAAAAGGCAAAGAGGCAATATTTACTTGTAAGAGAATACACAAGTTGCTGTTCTGCGTAGGTAAAGTTAAGAGGGTGCTATCACAGCGAGACTGGAAGTGAAGCTAATCAAGATTTGAAGACAGGTAAGGTTTCTGGAACAGAAGAGTTAGATGAGGGTTTCTCCCAGCCTTTATTCTTTGAATGCTTGTTCACCAGCTTGCACTGTTCATTCAGAATTAAGCCAATGCTAGCAAGGCACAAAACAAGACTACATTGCCATTCCCTCTCATATCAGCTCACAGTCTGATCCCAAATAATTGAAATATGGGGTACCATTTGGACAGGCCTGAGCAAATACTTCAAGAGAACCACATTACTTGAATGATGTTAACTGACAGGCTTACGTAAATGTGACTTTTGATGGATCTGAATAAAGACATGGAGAACGTACAAAGGAACTCGTAGTGGAGAAGTAATTTCAGAGTACAGATGAAGGAAGGCAAAACACACAAGACACTAGAAGCAGTGTGGGCTGAAGCAGATCCCTGAAAGTGTTTTTGTGCAGGTGTGTGATTCTTTCCACTTTTTGCCATTTATCTGGCAACTATACAGTACAAACACTGGGTATGACAACGTGATAAACACCTTGCAGTCTTTAAGCTATGACTGCCTGCATCTTCCAAAGCAAAAGATGGAAGGGAGAACAACTGTTTGAGCAGATTGGTTTTCTCTTCAGGTCAATTCTACTTGTGAAGTAACAGAAGTGAGTTTAAATGGCTCTGCACTGCATGCTCTGCTCTACAGGTACATGCCAGAACCACATACCATGGTACACCTTGTGCACACTCAGCCAAGATCAACGCCCAGCATCTGAGCATTACAGAAGTAAGACAAGAGCCTAAACTCATGCTAGAATCACAGAACACAACTAGTGTCTTTTACTTCCTCCCCAATACTTTTCTGACGTTATAAAAGAGGAGAAATACCTTCATTCAGGTGGTCAGTTTTTCATCTTTCAAATACTTACCATTTTTCAGTGTTATCTCCATCAGTCTGTCTAAAATCTGGGTGGAAACACAATAGTCAGGATGAATAGACATCATCTGTGGTGAGAAAAGAAGCAACATGTCAAAAACCAACCTGCATGATGACATCAGTTTTCTTTTAACTGGGGAAAAAAAAAAAAACCTCAGAAAACCAACACCCAACTCTTTGGGAGAATAAAATAAAAAAAAGAACAGGGGAAAAAAGAAAAAAAGAACAGAAAAAAACAAACTCAAAGCCTCTAAAGCAAGATACACCATGGAGAACAAGAGTACTGCAAATACTGATTACTTCCAGCAGTGCAAAGATGCTATGAATACTTTAAAATCAATTATTTACAATACTGTAAGCTGCAATCCCACATTGGCTCATAAGAAATTTCTGAGGGTTAAGAGAATGGAAATTATCACTTATTCCTTTGGAACCTATTTGCTTCTGTGACTGAATTGAGCTCCCTAATCAGGGGTGGAGGCAACACAGTTAACAACACCCTTTCCCAGTCACAGGCAAGTTGAATATATACGATACTAAACCCAAACAATGAATTCATAGTTTTTCACACAACTCAACTACAAAAACGGGACTATGAAGTACAATTCAGGTTTCCTGAAGCACTTCACCAGCCCAGGAAAACTTCTCCTTTGCCTCCCAACAAGTGCTGGTCAGTTTCCTGCTCTGCAAGTGATCTGAACTGTCTCACACTTCCTCCTTGTTAGAGGAACACCACAGCTTGCAGCAAAGGGGAAAGGCAATTTTTTCCTGGCTGGAGGGAAGAAAGTGGAAGAGCAAAATGTTGTCATTTTGGCGAATGTATAAAGCCAGCCAACAGCCCCAGGCTGCCATTTCACAGGTGGTCCAGCTTTCTTTTTTGTTTCAGGCAGAGTTAGAATGTGGTAAATAATAATGTAATGGAGACAGGAGAAAGTGCTGTTACTCAAAAAAATGCCTATGTAAATTCCTGGGGATTCAGACACAGACACCTAAGAAAGCAGACAGCCACCACATTTCCTTTGAGAATGACTCCAGACTGTTTCCTGAGCCATAAGGTACCTTTTCCAAATGAAAATTATCCAATAATGTAGGTACTGCTGATGATTTACATAGAAATGGTACTTTTGTATACTGCAGCATGTTGTTTTTTTTCTAAGGGTGAAAGGAAATAAGACTAACATTTGCTTGTGATTTGGACCACACTACTATATTCTGAAGTCCCTCCTCACCTAACAGGTACTGTGTTCTTTACAAATGCAGTAGCACAGATTAAGATGGACAGGGATGTGCAGCTTTACTGTCACTCAAAGTATGGAGGAAAAGCTATCCCTAGTGTTTTACCCCTAGTGACAATCAAAGTATTTCAGACCAGAAGATAAATCAGAACCCAGCATAGGAGAAAAACCAAAAGATTCTTTATTTAAAAGTTGTTAACCCAATGGAACAGATTCACAAACTTGCTCTGATTATTCCTGCTACAATTGGTGCCCAGGAAAAATATTATACATGCACAGAATACAACTGCATGAATAGCATAGACTTACCTGGAAAAGCCACCTTAGAATTGGTATGGGACACAATACACAGCTGTAAGCAGAACTCAGAAAACCATTAACAGCTAAAGAAAGCTGCTGTGTTACTCCAGAACTGTAAGACAAAGATGGGGGTGAGGAAAGAGGATAAAAATCAATTAGTGGTTGATTCGTCACTTTCACAAAAGCCTAAAAACTTCCCCATCAACAGCAAAGAAAGACCTCAATATCCAAAAGAGATTCTTACACTCTTATACATATAAACTCCTATAGTACTCAAACTATTTGTAAGAATAATATTTGTATATGTATAAATGTAGTATTTGTAATAGCCTCAAATTTACAAATGTCATTTAGAACTACTATCTTTTTCTCCAGAATGCCACACTATACAGTTTGGAAACATCTGTATCATTAGAGAGTGGTAGTTCCAAACACTGAATTACACTGTTATACTCTGAACCACTACACCTGACCACACAGACAGGATGTGATGCTCTGTGAGACCTGACCACACAGACAGGATGTGATGCTCTGTGAGACCAGTAAGATTTTTAACTGTCCAATGACCTTTACCAACACTTTCAGAATAAAAGAGACAAAAATCTTGGTTTTAAAATGTCAAGCCTGGAGGCAAACAAACACAATTAAAATCAAAGTCAAATCTCACTGTGCAAATTCATGAGGTGCAAAAAGTAGTGGAAGAACAGAAAGTACGTATTGTTATTACTGAATTATTTTAGCTTTAGTCTTCTTCAGAAAATTAGGTATGTCATAAGCAGCTAAATTAATGGTATCCAGTTTCCCACACACCCTTCTTTAGTCTCCTCTATTCTCTGTATCTACTAATCCAGGTAACTCTGCTGAGAGATTTGTATCCTAACTTCTACATATACCCTCCACCTGTCTGACTGGGAAGACCTCCATGTGCCAACTGGGCAGAATGCATAACCAATTAAATCATAATTGCCTTCTGCAAGGGATGATTAGTTTAATTCTCATTCCTCCGGTCACTGATTTACAAGATACTTTTGAAGCTTATACCCTTGTGATCTCCAAAACATATTAATAGAAAGGCCTGAAGCCAAAGGAGCATACCACAAATATCACTTCCTCAGGAGATGAGAAGATCATCTTCCTCCCCTTCACACCCACAATTGCACAAACACATGTATATAAAATCCATTAGGAGTAAATTAATTTGCTCAGTTCCACTGATGAATGTTTGGAGTAAAATACCAACCGAAATAAACAGAATTTTTCAGGATTTACACGTGTTATTAGGTAAGAATTTGTCCAGCTATTTGTAGTCTGACAGCCATATAAATATAGAATAGAAATGCCTGTGAGTTACAGAGCAGTTGTTCATATACACACACTGTTAGCTCAGTGACTGAATCTAGCAGATGTCAGAGATCACAACTCTCTGCAATCCTCATCAGATGGAGCCCTAAGTCCCAAGCCCATCCAGGATGGAAGCACCGGAAGTCTTTCAGCAGACACAATGCAACACTAGGAGCTCACAAATCAGTTCACCACAAAGATCCTTTTTCTGTCTGGGGATAGTGTTCATTGTAACACTGCACTCCTGCATTTATCTTCCACAAACTGCTCAGGCCAATGTAGCAGAAATACGGAAGAAGCCAGAACAAAATTTATTTTTCCTCCCTGATGTCTCATTTAAGATTCAAGAACTCCAGAGGAGGAAAGAAGGAAGCTTCAAGTTACAATTTACTGTTCTGTAAAGTTAACCCAGAAGGGAAAATGCCAGGGAAAGGGAGTCAGTCTTGCCTAATTAGTAAGACAGAGCTCATTTGCATGCAAAGATACCATTTGATCTTAAAACTGCTAACACTGAACAAAGTTGTAAGAGCAAACACAAAGTAAAGAGGATATTCTTACTTAAGGAGCAGCTTTTCTATAGGATTTTGAGGGATGAAGTGAAAATTCCTTAAGTCAAGGTTATGCTGATTGAAGATTTTCCCAGAGGCTGACAAATCAAATATATCTTCTCCAGGGTGGTAGTCAGGTATGGCATCAGCTACTACTGAGAATCTCCTTATAAACATCCTGTAAAATTCAAAGTTGCTTCAGTTAAGGCAAACAATGAGAAGCTACTTGCTGCTTGAGACAGTTAATTTTCAGATGATGAACACATCAGTCTTATGTGAAAGCTGAATTGTTACAATACAGTAAAGCCCAAGGAAATCCACCCAACCCCAAAAGATATAAAAACGGTTCACATTAAACATCTTAACAACTACTGCTGGAGACAAAGAGAGGTTAGAAAAAAAAGGCTAGAAAAGCAAAGAACTAGGTTTAATTGGGTTTGGAGTTGGAAGGACCTGTGTTCTTCTGAGAGATCTTCATCTCCACTGGCATCCTCCTCATTTTCTCCATCTGAAGCAGTGTCCTTTCTTTGCATGTCTTCCTGTAACCGCTTTTCTAGTTCATCTACCCTGAAATACCAGTAGCAGCAGAGCATATCATCACCATTTAGTATTTACAGAAGAAGACAACAAAATCCAAGCTCTGAATGTGAACCCAGGAGTCAGTAGCCAGTTATGCATGGCAAAAGCACGTAAGACATTGCACCTGTGTAAAACCCAAGCATCTTGCTATTCCAACATACACAGTGAATGCTTCCCAAAACCAATTTCCAACAGCACCAGAGATGAATGCAGGCAACCAACTTTGGATAATTTTTTTGTAATTGTACAAAACTTTCAATCTTGTGGCTGAGTTTTTAATCCTTTTTTTAGACACCGTATTAATATTTTACTTGTTAAACAGTATTAGAGTATTCACTACTCCACAGTCAGCCAGCCTACAGTTACCATGGTCAGATTCTTTAATCAAAGCAGTTAATCACACATATATAGACCCATCACCACTCCTGCCATTAGCACAAAAGCCACATTTCACTTTCTACCCAAGAGGTCTCTTGCAAGAACATACATTAGTTCTGTTCACTGACCTGTGCAACTACTCAGGTACCAATACTCTACACAACTCTGGGAACCAAAGCTGAGCTACAGTTGAAGAGACTAGTACAGTCAGTCTACATAAATATTCTTATTTCATGCCCGACCAGCAGCTGCTAGTTGGCTCAGTGACCTATAACGAAGGCATCAGTAAATTTAGTCCAGCTCTTCAGGGACAGACAGATGTACCACAGATCACTCACTGCTGCTTAGAAGGAGCCTGTCCTTCAGCTTTTACAGTTTAAGCCACACTTGTAGGTCCTGTCAGATGTATGTTGGTGGCATCAGCAGGCAAAGCTTAGCTTGCTGCGAGGGTTGGACTCGATGATCTTTGAGGTCTTTTCCAACCCGGCTATGATTCTAGTCAAACTCCATCAGCTTCAGGGAGATGAGGTAAATCTAAGCTTCTACAACACCATCCCAAATTTTTCAAAGCAGATTTAAGAAACAAACCTTCTAGATTCTTCTTTCTCCTTCAAGAGATGTTCTAAGCTGTTCACATATGATACTTGGCTAACAACAGGAGTCTTAGAAAGCTGTAAACAAAATAGTAAAAAATTAAAACAATACCACAAGCTATGAATTAATTATTAGACAATAATCAAAACAAAAACCTCTTCCAATTTGAATCATACAATCATAGAGTTTTAGGGGTTAGAATGGAACTTACAGATCATCTAGTCACAAACCCCTGCCATGGGCACGGACACGTCCCACCAGACCAGTTTGCTCAAGGCCTCATCCAGCCTGGCTGTGAACACTGCCAGGGTTGGGGCATCTATTACTCCCTGGGCAACCTGTGCTATTGTCTCACCACCCTCACAGGAAAAACATTTTTCAAACCTAAACTTCCCCTCCTTCAATTTGAACCCATTACCCCTTGTTCTATCACTGCAGTTCCTAACAAAGAGTCCCTCTGCAGCTCCCTTGTAGGCCCTTTAGATATTGAAAAGTTGCTATGAGGTCTCTACACAGTCTTCTCTTCTCCAGGCTGAACAACCCCAACTTCCTCAGCCTGTCTTCATAGGGGAGATGCTCCAGTCCTCTTACCAACTTTGTGGCCTCCTCTGGACTTGCTCCAACAGTTCCATGTCCTTCTTGTGTTGAGGGCACCAGAACTGTGTGCAGTATTCCAGGTGGGGTCTCACGAGAGCAGAGTAGAGGGGGAGAATCACCTCTTTTGACCTGCTGACCACACACATTTTGATGCAGCCCAGGATTCCATTGGCTTTCTGGGCTGTGAGTGCACACTGTAGCTCATGGTGAGCTTCTCATCTACCATCACCCTCAAGCCTTTCTCCTCAGTGCTGGTTGCAATTACTTCCCCACCCAACCTGTAGGTGTGCCTGGGATTGCCATGGCCCAGATTTAGGACCTCGCACTTTATTTTGTTGAACTTCATGAGTTCAACAAAACTTGCATTGTTCCACCCCTCAAGCCTGTAAAGGTCTCTGGATGGCACATCCCTTCCCTCCAGCATGTCAACTGCCCCACACAGCTTGGTGTGGTCAGAGAACTCGCTGAG